CTGGAAACCAAAAGTCTTGTCCGATAAACATAAGAGTAGAACTGATACAAGAAATATCATACTGACAATATTTTTGAACATATTAAGAAACACAAAAATTAAGTAATTACATTTGTTGAGCTGAAACTGAATCGAGTGCACGTGTACTTGATACATTAACACCCTGTATATAAATATATATGTGTATATATATATAAAATATCTACCTGTGTTTCTGGATTAGGTAACGATACCCTTTTTCCATCATTTTCTTTCTGTGCAGTGGTAAATACGACCTTAGAACTTGCAGATTTTCTATTTAAAAAGCTGCCTGCCATCTTAACTTGTTTCGCAGATTTCTCTTTATCTTCTAATTTATTTCCCTCATCATTTAATTTAAATAGCAGTTTATCTGGTTTTATTCTATTATGTATCTCTTGAATTATGATTTTTTCTTTATCATCGAAATTATTTTCTTCTTGCAAAAACGATAATGTGTGCATTGCTATTTCCATATTAGAGTGATTTACAGATTTGATTATAACTTCTTTAAATAACAACAAAAATTCTGAACTTATACTTTTATCAAGACCTTTAATAATGATAAGTATTGTCTCCCATAAACCTATACTCTACAAATAAATAAATCTTATTATTAACGATAAACATTGAAAAATAAAGTATCGCATGAAATTCATTTATTTGATTATCATACCTCTTTCAATGACGTTCCAACTGAAGATATGAGCACAATTTCAATTACTGATCTCAAATATTCCAAACATAATAATGCCTTGTTTTTATCATAACCATATATAGTAATAAGCACTGCAGATAATGCTTTCAAGACGATATCACAATTAATAAATTGTGAATTATTGAGATTAGTTTTAATGAGATCTATTAAATAATCCATGATACATGTTACTTCATTTCGAACTAAAAATAAATTTAATAAATATAAATATCACGGGATAAATAGATCTTTTTTTTAAATTATTATAGAGATCCATATTACCATACCCAATAAATCATTATAATTTATATTACTTAATAATATGTCCAAACAGTAAGATATACAAATGCTACAATCCTTATTCTTATTTAAACAACTCTGCATCATTTTCATGGTATTTAATAGTATTTCATTAGATTTTACTGTGACAATCAAATCTCCTTGTAAATCGAATTGCTTGTATAATTTTTTCCAAGTGTTACTAATTTCTAGAATCTGTTAATAAATCGTGTTAAATATATTTACCAATTTACTAAGTTTATAATATTATTTAATGTATATGTAATTATATATAAATATAAAAACCTGTTTTAAATCCTTCGATAATATTTGCGTAAATGGAAATTTTAAAATATATTCTGTAGTCTTGAAATTATGTTGGGCAGCATTGCCTTCATTGATTTTACCTGTATCTTCTATATACGTTATTAATATTTCTGCTACGATACACCATACTTCAGGTATAATAGTTCTAAACAAATAAATGATATAAATATGATGTTTATTCGCTTTCTAATCGAAATTTAAATCACTCACGTGGATTTATCTTCTACATTAATCTCTATTAATTTGTCCAAAACCTGTCTCAAGAAATCCAATATATTTGAGCAATACTCATTTCTTATTTTTGACTTAGCACACTCCCATAATAAACAATTAAGTCCTTTGCAATGATTCCTTTAAATTAAATGCCATAATAAAGTCAATCTATCTTAAAATAATATGTATATTATTTGGGAACAACAAATGTATATAATACTAACTTCTTGATTTTTGGCAGAATTGATGTAGAGAAAAGTTTAAACAATAAGTCCAATAACATTTCTCTGTGGATTTGAATATCCTTAAAATTAGGTAAATCAATAACGATAACATCAAGAATTAAATCCTGGATCATTGGCTTATCAGCAATATGATTTCCCAATTCATTTATTATTAATAAAATGTCTTTATAAACGAGATCCTGAAAATTGTATTTAATTGTTAATATGTACACAGGAAAAAAAATCTTTAATTGATATATTTGCTTCTCACCTTTATTTCTGTCTTCGATTCTTGAGCATAATTAACTAAACTAGACCATAAAAGTTTTCCTACTTGATATCGATTTTTCATTTCTTTATCATTAATTTGGCTCAAAATAAGTATGGCTTCTCCAACGCTATGTATGATACTTTTAAAACATTGTTGAAAAATTGTACCACATATACAATTTGGAAGCATTTCCTCTAAAATTGGTGAATGAAGCATATGATTTTCTTGTTTTGCGACAAGAAGCTGAGATAAGGCATCCAAGGCAACTAATTTTGTTTTAAAAAATCTCTTGCCAGGAGAGGCAACATCGCATTTAGATGAAAGTAATGGTGTATCTCCAAGTGGACCAAAGCAAAAGTTCAAAAATTGCGTTAACACGGGTTCAACAAATTTGCCAATATCTTTAAAAAGTTTAATAATCAAATGCCACCAAACTTCCAATTTAGTGAGAGCTATTAATTCAGTCTTACTATTTTTTGCATTTAATGGTATACACAACAATTTTATTCTTCTTGTAGTTCCAAGTTCTTGAGGATCTAAAGCAAAATTGTCAATCAACAATTTCCATGAAAGGAAAGCTTGCCTAAAAAACAATAAATATATAATTTAAAGAAAAACATTATTTATCGATAATATCAACAATCAATATATATCGAACCTTCGTATAACAGCATCAGAAGATTTAAAGGCTCTTTCCTCAACACTGAGTAAGTTATTTATCAAACTCGCACCACGGTGAAGATCCGTACCAAGCAATTGAACGCTGATATTCCATTGAACAGCCCAGTCAATTTCACACACTGATACCAAAAGTTGCATTCGTTTGCAATACATAGATTGCAAATCTGTCTTATATTGTGACCAGACATCTGGTAAATCATTACGAACATGTGTGGTCAGATTAGTTGTGATTGCTTGCTGTAAAAGTTTTAAAGCAGGAGTACGCTGTCGCCTATGACCCATATAAGCTAATAATATAACTTTCTCCATTAGTATTTCATCGAACTGTAATGATAATATATACAAATTAATATAGAATATTTAAATGAAATATATTTCAATAAAAATAGAATATATTTGATCTTTATACCCTCTGTATTTTATTATCAGCCATCTCAACAGCAACTTTGTATAATCTTCTTAACAAATTAAGACTATAATTAATCATCTCTTCTTCGATCTTCTGATTATTGGATAATGCTTTGTTTTCTACTTCAGTTAGTTTATGTAAATTTTCTGTACATGCTGTTGGTAAAAGCCAATTCATTGTGGCAGGCTGTATAGTTTGCAGGCAATCATTTAATAAATTAACAATTGACTTATCATTAGCAGCTATCAATATGGCTATATCATCCACCACGTCTAGTAATTTAAGAATTTTTAGTCTAAAATCATAAAATGTATAAGAATAACATATCAAAGTTAATGAATACGAAGTAGAAAAAGTAGATCCCATTGATTTAATAAAAAAAGAAATAATCAAACCTGTCCTTTCTACTTATATGTTGCATCGATTCAAATAAATTTAATTTGTGATTCCTCAAATTTTGCACAATACAAGTAAGCGTATCATATGCCTCATGTTGTATATTTTGATCTTTGCTCGTAGAAGCATCCACGACTAACTTGCAGAGATCCTTATATTGTTCTTCTTTAATATTATTTGAAGATTCTAACTTTTTGTGATTGCTAAAAATAAAAGTTAAGTAAAAATAAAATAAAAAAGTGTACTCCGTAATTAAAGATAAGCAAAATTGTACTTGTAAATAAATGTATAAATTTAAATCAAATAATAATTGAATTATTACGTTATCTCAAAATGATTCAAATAAATATATAAATCTTAGATTGTTATAATAAAATAAATAAAATAAAAGTAGAAAAATTTGACATTTATTACCTGCGAATATAGGTTAAAGCATCTTTTTTCTCTTTGTTGCTACTAGACTCTCGTAGCATTTTAAGAATCTTAGGAAAAGATTGCGTTCCCGTAGCCATATCTTTTCACTTGTTTACAAAGGCGTTATCGAAATTGAATCATCGCTTAAAGCACTCGTAGCGCGTTTTGAAGCCCTAAAAGAAAAGAGAATTTTATGTAGTACAATTTGATCAGCAAGAAAATTTTGCACGCGCTAGTAATGCGATAATAATTTCTAGGGTTCTGGATAGTTCCAAGAAATTAAATCGACGATGTATTCACGGCCATGTATACAACATATACACAAATCTATATTTAACAAAACACTGTATAACGCACATATCTTAATATTCTAAAAAGAATACATTGATACTCTACTAAGCTAGGCGAAACAAAAGCATTAAACATTTGTTGTTTTGGAAGCAACGCTAATATCTCTAATTCCAACGTTCGATTGCACTGGGGTTGCACTCACGTTAAAATATTTTATGCAATTCTCATCACAACCCTTCAAATCTACATATTTATAGCAAAACAAAGCATCACAGATCCAAATAAACGAATTTTTTTCTTAATCCGATAGTCTTTAAAACCTTAGCTACCTATTTCGAATTAATTTATTAGAAAAATGTACCGTTTTTTCCCTATATCTAATTGCAAACTCGACGATTAGGTTATTTGTGATAATTACTTGAGATGTATTATTTTTACAGGTTTTGCGTAACATGCACACAATGAATTTTCATAAAAACTTTATAAATAAATACGTACAACTAATGTTGAAAACAACAATTTAACACGACACTGAGTAAATGATAATTTTGTTAAGATGTTATCTATGTATGTAGTTACAACCACGTATACATTGGAAATTTTATACACGATTAGCACGAAATGCATTGGCGCCAAATTTTTTCCGAGTTTATTGCGACGCTTCTAAGATAGGTGGCGTTAAATTGCAGCACTAGAAATATTCTTTTTGATTGGTGGAATCTTAGACAAAAAGAAAACCATCGCTATAAAATAAGTTTAGTATTGACCAATCCGAAAAGGTGTTATATTAAACAATTTAGAAGCGATGTTATATTTGAAAATATTTTCAGTTATACCTCCAGTAAACTATTAGGAGATATCAAGTTATCGTGTTTAAAGGAAGTTATTATTTTATTAAAATTAATATTGTTTGAAAATTTTTAAATTTTATCTATTGACATTAAATATGGCTAATTATCAAAGTCAATATAAGGTAAATAATAATTTTGGAAACATTAAAAATAATCGTGCTAAGCGTGCTAGAATATCCGAACTCAAACGTAAAGAACAGAGAATTGAAGACTTCGCAAAAAAACGTGAATTAGAAATTATTCCTGATGAAAAAACGGAAGGTAATACATATTTATTATTATTACAATAAAACTAGAAATTTAATAATTTTCGAATGATTATAACCAAGTGATGTATAAGATTGTTTATTAATTTGTTTAAGATTAACTTTTTGAATTTATATGACAGTCTGTTAAATTTATGTTTATACGTCTTGCTAAAATTATTCAACAAAATAGAAATAAATTTTTACTTTTATTGATTAATATCTTTACAAAAAAGGTAACTCAATGTTACTAAGTATTTTTTGTAAAAGAATTCATAATTGAGAAAATTTTAGACTATCCTAAACTAATGACTGACTTTCAAAATTGTTAATATTTATAAATGTTTGTATTTGGTTTATAATTAAGGATATTAAAGGTTGGGAAATAATAGTATTGTTGAAAATTTAAAGTAGATGGTACTTGATCAATGCAATGAGCTATGTAATATAAATGAAAAAGCAATAGAAATAAAGATGAGATTCTAGAGTAGACCATTGTAAAGATTAATTGTATTTTCTACTTTGTATGAAAAGATAAACTCTATGCATATACAAATTATACATTGAATTCTATTACATTTTATAAGATATTATTTGAATTCAGCTTATGCGATTTATGATTACATTTATTTTATTTTATAATTTTATAGTCTTTTTTTCTGTACTTATATATATATATATTTATATTTATTAATTAATTATATTTTTTGTTTAGATGTCAAGGATAATAGATACCACAAGCTATTAAAATGGAGAGCGGAACGTGATAGGCTTAAAAAAATGGAGCAGATAAAGAAAAAACCTGCCTTCAAAGTAGGCGTAGTCCATCATAATTACTATTCTCCTCCGATAAAAGATTCTAGTGTACTACCTCCTATTAAATCATCTCTACATAATCAAAAACAAATTACACAACCTACATTAGTATCAAGAAGAATAACTAGAGCTACTGAAAAACGTCTTCTTAGGAAACAAGAGATATTGACTACCGAAGTACCACCAAAACAAAATGTTAAAGAAAAAAAACAAAAGAAATCTGAAGGAAAAAATAAAAGAAAAAATAACGTTAAAACTGAACAAAAATCTTTTGCACCTAGTAATTATAAGTTTACTGCTCCAAGCGGTATAACAAGTATGCCTTTATTTGGTCGTGTAAATATAATACTTACACCTGTAAAAGATTCAAAATCAATTAACAATAAAATTGAAGATAGAATATCTTCGTTAAACGAAAAGTCAGAATCATTAGATCAAGATTATAATGAAACAACTAATATAAATGATAAAATGCCTAATAATAGCATAATAAGCGGTTCAATAGAAACATTAAATAATAATCGTGAAATGACATTTAACTTTTCTGACAAAGAAGGAGAATTTCTTAGAAATAGTACTTTTTCCGATGATAGTAGTCATTCAAAAATGACACTGTCGCCTAGCAATATTTCAGCCATCATGACAGAAAAAGAAACACACAAAAATTCAAGCAATAATAAAATTAAAACTTCTTTTTCAAAAAAAATTTCTAAAGGAAAAGTTATAAACAAGTCCTTTCAAAATATAAATAGCAGTCAAAGTAAAAAAACACCTTCTTCAACAAATGATAATGCCAATTTAACAGAAACTAATTTATTTAAGGATCCAGCATACTTTTCACCATACATAGTATCAAAACGAGGTAAAAGTAATGCTAGAAAGGAACAACAATTACGTCGTGGTATTGGCTCTCCAAATGATAATATTCCTACTAAAGAAACAGTTATGCAAACTCTTAACTTATCGATTGAAGAAGAAGAACGTACTGCGCAATATTTTGCTTTCCTATTAAAAAAAGAAACAGACAAACTTAATGAACTTATCAATAAGTGGACAGATATTCAAAAAGAATCAAATATTACAGAAGATGCTCAATATCTAATTAATCAAGCTATAGGACAAACACGTCTATTAATAAATAAAAAATTTGAAAGATTTCAAAGACTAGTATCTGACTGCGAGAGTGGTAAAGGAGAAATGTTAGTTACTTGTAGAGACTTACAAGGATTCTGGGACATGATGTACATGGAAATTCAAAATTGTGATTCACGATTTGAAGCATTAGAAAAGCTTCGTTCTAGAGGCTGGGAAGAAGAAAAAGAAGAAATTGTTGTCAAAGTTAAACCTAAAAGAAAAGTAGTGTCAAAGAAGAAAGTTGTGCCTAAGAAGAAAAGTTCAGTCCAAGCTTTTATCTTAGCTGCTAAGCAAAAGATGAAAAATAATACAAACAATTCAAAAATATTAGAAAAAGATGCGAATGAATCTTTAACTTCCGTAAATAATATTGATATAGAAAACAGAGATGATATCTTGATCAATGGTGATATTAAACATTTGAAATCTACAGACTCTAAAGATGAATTATCTGTAGTTGCTACAAACGAAAATACTAGACAAAGTTTATTAAAAAAAACTCTTTTATTGGAAACATGTAAATCTATACAAACTCCAATGACCATAATGAAAATAAGCCAAATGTACAAAACGCCAAAAATTGAATTAGATGATTCCATATCGTATATTAACTCTAAACAAACACCAAGTAAAAGCATATTAAAACGTTCTGATGATTTTCCAATAAATAATATACATTTATCAAGATCCACGCAGAAAGTTAACTTTAATGACCAAGTGGTCTTGAATGAGCTGTCTGATAGTGAAGAAGCCCAAAATAGTTTAGCTGCTAGATTAGCTAGAATAGACAATTATGATTTAGATAATGAATACGAAAATGATAACATGGAAGTTGCAAAAAGACTTGAATTCGATAATTCTTTTCAAGATTCAAAAAATAATTTACAAGTTAATACTAAGCAATTACTTTCATCTACACACACTGTAACTAACAAGGAAGATGATATTCTTCTGAATGATAAGACATGCGAACAATTTGTCACAAATGTTTCTTCACCTGAAAATCAAAAAATATTAAATATGTCATTAGAGGAATCTGCAGAAAATACAACTAAAAGGAGAACTCTTAGAAACAGAACCATTGTAACGGAAAACTCTACAAATAGAATGTCTACAAGAAATAGAAAAACTGATATTAAAGTAAGTTGTAATCGAATTTCTTTATGATGCAATATATCAGTACGCTTTTTATTTTATTTTTTTTTTTTTTTTTTTTAAAGCTTATTTAAATTATATATTAATTTAGGATTTAATTGATGAAAAGGACGAATTTAATCAAAAAGAAAATAAGAATCCTTTAAAGTCAAGAAAACAATCAAGAAAAAAGTCAATTAATGTTGAAGAAGAAGAAGTTAATGTAAAGAAAGAAATCTGTGTTACACCAGTAAATGTAAAAAAAGAGCTAAGAAGATCCTCTCGAAAAAGTGTGAAGTTTAATGGTAAAAATAAAATAACGATATGATTTCAAATAATAACTAATGTATATTGTTCACAAAATAATAACGATAACTTTTTCTAGTTGAAGATTGCGAAGCCTGTGTAGAAGGTAAATTCAATCTTCCACTGACACCATATTTTAGATGTAGCAAAGGTAGATTGAGCTTCTTACAAGAGAATAATACACCTATAAACCCTCCTTCACCCAATAAAGATTTGATTTCATGGGATTCTCCAAAAAGTAAGTAATATGTCAAATTATTATTAAATGCTTATACTTAATGATTGTGTAACAATTTCAGTTCCTGCTAGAGTAATAAGAAGATCCACGAGAAATTTCACTAAACATGTATTCTAATAATCCATATTGTATAACTTTTGTACATATATTCTTCTACTTATTGACTTACACTTAACTTTTACTTATCAACTAATTTTACTTAAAGATATGTACACTTAGCTTTAACTTATTACTTATTAACTTCTCATTTCCTTTGTCTAGTATTTCTTTTGCATAAAAAATCAAAATTACATTAAATGTTATTAAAAATTGTTTTTAATTAAAAGTATAGTTTAACATTCATTGTTTTTGGCAAAATTCATTTTTGGTGGTAATAAAAATAAAATATATACTTTTAGCTATTTCTATAATAATATATAATGTTTACAAATATATCATCAAGTATATTATTACTGAATCTATAAATTAAATTAAAAAGCATCTGTATTTGGTGTAATGAATTAATTGAACCACCATAATTTTACGCTGTTATCTCTATTTACTCCTTCAATATCACAAATTCTTTGTCCTGAACTTGTTGCAACTATCGGCAAATTTTTATGTATACTCACACCATTCACGCTATCTTCTGATATTTTAAATTCATATTTTGGATTCTCAATTTCATCTTCATTTTTACCTTCTAATAATTCCCAAATATTAATTTTCCCGTCTACACCTCCTATAAAGGAAGAAAAAAATAGCAAATTAAATTTGTATCTCTCATGAAATTCTTAATAAATGATATATATAATACCTGATATTAGATGGCGACCATGACTTGTGATATCAAATTGTATTCTCTGGTTTGTATCTGCTTGCCGTTTTTGAAAAGAATAAAGTACAGTACCAGGATTACGAAGATCCCAACATAAAAATTCATTGGAACGTCTAACAGCTGAATACAACTTAGTTCCACACGGACTAAATTCAATTTGCGTCACACCACTTGCTGTTTTAAAAGTACAGATTGGTGTATCTTTGTAAAGTCCTAAATATAAAAAGAACATAAAACAAAATAAAATGTAGATTGAAATTAAAACCTAATTCGACTATCATAAAAGATATAAATGTGATGAACACAATACATACCAATACTTTTAGAATATGTACCAAATGCCACCAAGCCTGGCATTAATGGATTTTCACGAATACAAGATACCAGTCCGCTGGTATTTGGAAAATCTTTCTTAAAATTAATGGTCTCAATTTGTCGTCCAGGATAATTAGTATCAAAAATATGTAGAGTATTTTTAAAACCGCTAAAAATTTGTTTACCATAATCAATAAATTGAACACTAATGGCAGCTGCTACTTCGTCGACACTATAGAACAGATAATATTTTAATTTAATCAATTAACATTTGTGTAATAAAAAAATTATAAGTATAACAATGAATACTAACTCGTTATAAGCTCTATAAGTAGCTCGCAATTCTCCTGTAAACGCATCCCATAAATGTATCGGACTTTCTTTACTGGTACTAAGAAAACAACATGTTGCAGGATTCCATGAATTCATGAAAGGATACCAGCAAGTATCATATACAAGTCCTCCTTCCTTAACAACTACAGCAGCTTTAAGATCTAATGTTGTAAAGTCCAATGGTATTTTATTAGAATAAAATGTTGATGGAAGTTCGTATAAACGTATTCTAAAATCTTCTGATGGTACTAATAAACATGTATCATCCGGAGACCATTGGCAGCCTTTTGTAAAATTTTCGCAGGATGTAGTTGGTTGATATTCTTTAGTAGCAATGCATATCAACTTTGGTGAAACAATCCAATTGCAACTACAAAAAGAATCATCTGTTGTATTCTTAGAAGTTAAATCTATATTGTCTACTTCAATTTTCTCACATAAATTAGGTTCTATCTTTTCCATATTTAATTCTGAAGGTACACCTGATTCCTATAACATTTAATGTATATATATATATATATACATATATATATTAAATAAGGTATCAATAATGTTAATTGTAACTTTTAATGCATATATTAATGAAAAATATTTCAAAAATACTAACTATATATGGTGCATGATCAATAGATATCTCATTTGTATTGTCTGGGATGCAAGACTTTTGGATTGTTTCCACATTTGTTTCATTATTAGAACTTTGTTCTCGTTTATTTTCAGTCTTTTTTATAGAAATAGTAGGACTTATAAAAATATTTTTAAATGCAGGATTGACAAATTCAATATCCATATGTAATGTGTTTTCATCTTTAATTAAAGATATTAAATCAGTTTTATTAACACTTTCACATTCCATAATAATAAATATCTTTTAAAGAATACATATAAAACAAATCCACAGCAATTTAAATTACTTCTGAATGAAAACATAGTGCATGAAACGTTATAACATAAAATTTCATTTGATCACTCTAGCAGTGATACCAACAAATTTTTTTATTTCATGATGTGATTAATACAAATATTCTTTCATTTTTGGAAAAAATATATGTAAATATTTACTCAAATATTTTGTTATATAATGACGATTATGTGTGATATTTTTCGTTTATTTTTAAAATGACATAAATTTTGTTAAACACCATATTTCTTGAAAATATTTTATTGGTAATTGAAAATTAGCGCCATTCTGTCATCACAGTTAGATTGGATGCGTAGTATCAACTTTCGTCGAATAAAGACGAAAAAAGCCGAAGGAGACATTGACTATATTGGAGTATAGTATAGATTGTACCCCTTTCATGAAATTACTATTCCGTGCCAGAATAGTGGACGAGCTGTAGTAGTTACGAGTTTACATAATTCGATTAATTATTTTATCTGGTAAGTTTTTTGTACCTTTAAATAAATTCTTTTGTTTATAATTAAAAAATATGAAGAACAATTAGAAAATCTCGCTTAGAAACAAAGTAGTATAGAAATTTCAAAAACGACATTGACATTGCCATATTTGATTGGTAATAGTTACATAAATGTACGATTACCACCCAAAAATTATATGTAAAAATAAAACTATGTTATAAAATATGAATAATCCTACGTAACAATTAATTCATACTATTATTTAATATTTTAGATATTTTCTGTTATCATGTCAGTTTTTAATTAAATCATTTCTATGCTTAAAGTCCATTCATTATTTTCAAAATGACTGACATTAAATTCAGAAATGTCTTTATATATAGTAAAATAAATTATGAATGTATAATTTTTAATGTGAATAAAACTAATCTCTTATTTATTTTCTTTTTATATTATTACAGGAGTATATATAACAATTAGAACAAACATGTTTTGCAATCGTATGTCTTCAATAATTCGTCTTGCTGCGAAACAGCAGCAAGAACAACAGCAACGGGGCATGGCAACGCTTAAAGCTATCTCCATGCGTCTTAAGTCAGTTAAAAACATTCAAAAAATCACACAATCCATGAAGATGGTGTCTGCTGCCAAATACAATAGGGCAGAACGTGATTTAAAACAAGCTCGTCCACTCGGTTTTGGCACGAAAATATTTTATGAGCAAGCTGAGATAGCTGCACCATCAGAAGAACCAAAAAAACTAGTTGTAGCAATAACCAGTGACCGTGGTTTATGTGGTGCTATTCATACTGGCGTTTCACGTAATATCCGAGAAGCCTTATTAGCAGATCCCACAGAACGAGAAAATACTAAAATTATCTGCGTTGGAGAAAAATCACGTGCTATTTTGTCACGTTTGTTCGCTAAAAATATGTTATTTGTTGTATCCGAAGTAGGACGTAAGCCGCCTACTTTTAATGACGCAGCAAAAGTTGCTATAGAAATTATGAACAGCGGGTATGTAAAAATTGTTCAGTATATATATATAAATATTATTATATACATTACTCATATTGTTTTTACATACTTACAGTTATACTTTTGGATCTGGTCGCATTGTATATAACCGATTCAAATCTGTAGTATCCTATAATGTTGATCAACTGCCTTTATTCGATAAAAATGCAGTACTAAGTGCCCCCAAGTTAAGTGTTTATGATTCTCTTGATGATGATGTTATACAAAATTATTTAGAATTCTCATTGGCATCCTTATTATTCTATTCAATGAAAGAAGGAGCCTGCAGCGAACAATCCAGTCGCATGACTGCCATGGACAATGCCAGTAAAAATGCAGGAGAAATGATTGACAAATTAACTCTTACATTTAATCGTACACGACAAGCTGTTATTACTAGAGAATTGATTGAAATTATTTCTGGTGCTGCTGCATTGGAATAAATATTCCATTTTAACACCATAATGTGTTTTAATATTAGCACTAAGTAATAGAAGATAGAAAACAGACAAAAAGGGTATCCGAATAAGTCTAAGACATTGTAGTGAAATTCATTAAAAATGTGCTACAATTTGGACTGATAATGAATACATACTGTTTTCAACAAACTATTAAAATTTCTGAATTACTAAAACTGCACTTCTATTATTAAGTCCGCATAAAAAATTAATCAAATTATATTATATTATATAAAAGTGGTCATTACTAGTCTTAATGCAGAGAAATTTCTGTGTATGACCTAATATTATATTACGTTTAAAAAATTTATAACATATATAATTATACAAAGTGTTTTGTAACTGATGATACAAGCAAGCAAGAAGTGATTTTTCATGAAAAACTAAGTTGAAAATCTAGAATAAATTTTTTAATTTGTTTTAAAAAAAAATAAATTTGAAAATTTATAGAATACGCGTGCATATTTATTTTACATTTTTGACTTAGTTGTTCATAGAGAATCCTCCGTACTTGTTTGTACCTCTAGTTACAAGAAACTTTGTATAATTTAAAGAGCCATAAAAAAAACGTTTTGCAAATACTGCTAACGACCTTGCTATTGTGTTTCTTTTTTCCTTTATATTATAATGAATATATATATATATAAATGAATTTCTATTTTTAAAAAATTCTCATATTACAACCTTAATTATGATATATTAAAAACGTCATAATTATTTCAAATATTTAATAAAGATAGAAAGAATATTATTTAATGAGATAATAAGAACTTGTTATCTACCTTCTATGTACATTGTTATTCGTTCAAAAATACAAATCAATTGCGCAGTCGCGTGATGACATAAAAACAAAGGTATTAACCTCCATTTCCATGTGTACCATTGCAAACTCTGAAAGCTACGTTAAACGTTCATTGGCCATTATAGAAAATATGAGCTCAATTTTCAACGTATAACCAATAATCACGCTTACAAATATGAGCCTCTAAGAGTTATTTCTACAATGATGAGAATACTCATTGAAAAATAGAATTGTTTTGTAATTTATGTATCAGGCTGATATTAGATTAAAAACGAACACAACCATTTATTTCAAAAAACAAAAAAGTCTTATGTTAGCTAAAACCATAGCCTGTTGAGAAAAAAATAAATAATGGTAGGGAAAAAAGACATTCTTGATTTACGATTTAATCAAGATCAAGGTACGTATTGTTGTCTAAAATTAATGAAATTGAACATTTTTAGTAGTTAAGTAATGAAAATTAATGTTCTTGATTACATTATAAGATTATTTTTTCTAAATCAAAAATGATTTTTCTTTGTCTATCACTTTAGGATGTTTTACATGTTGTATGGAATCTGGTTTAAGGATATTTAATGTAGAACCTTTAGTTGAAAAAGCCCACTTTGACCAAGATGTTATGGGTAGCATTGCACTTGGGGAAATGCTTTGGCGAACAAATGTTATTGCTATAGTGGGTGGAGGAACACATCCAAGATTTGCAGAAAATACTGTTCTTATTTACGATGATCTCTCGAAAAAATTTGTAATGGAAATTACTTTTATTAGTCCAATTAAAGCTGTTAGATTACGCAGAGATAAGTAAGTTACAAAAGTTTTTATTGTACTTTATACTTATTTATTATTATTAGATAGTATTTAATGTAATAGCAATTATAAAAACATATTTTTATGATCTAGATTAATAGTGGCCCTCCAAACAGATATACATGTCTTTTCATTCCCTATGCCTACAAGAAGATTATTCTCATTGAAAACAAGAGACAATCCTAAAGGTTTAATAGAAGTAGCTACTTTAGCAACTGCGCAAAAACAATTAATGGTCTTTCCTGGTAACAAACTTGGTAGTGTACAGTTATTAGATTTAGGTGCCACAGAAGCAGGAACTTCTACTACTCCTGCCACACTTGCAGCGCATCAAGTATTATATTTAACATCCTATTATACATATATACAATAGGATGTCTATTATCTGAATGAATTGGGAAACGAATTCGTTTCGATAATTAATCTTGAAAGAATCAAATTCCTAATTATGTTATAACGTCGATTTATAAATGAACGATTTATATATTTGAATGTTTTATTTTATATTCGAATAACCAATTTTCAGATAATCAATGTTCTACTGTATTATACAATAACTGTTAAAAAGATATTTCATTTGTAAATTTTTATATTAGGGTACATTGGCTTGCATTGCTGTTAATGGAAGTGGTACAATGGTAGCAACAGCTTCTGCCAAGGGTACATTAGTTAGAGTATGGGACTCTTTACGCAGAAATTTACTTATTGAGTTAAGAAGAGGTGCGGACCCTGCTACAGTATATTGGTATTATTTAAAATTATATATATATATATTATATTGTAGCATATTATGCTTTCTTTCTAATATCTGATTCTTTTAGTATAACATTTAGTAGAGATTCAGAATATCTCTGCGTGTCTAGTGATAAGGGAACTGTGCACATATTTGCTATAAAAGATACTCATTTGAACAGAAGATCTACGTATGTGAATTAATATTTAACTAACTTCTGTATCAAATATAACACCAGTTTTAAAAGATTTATCTCTTTATAGTTTTTCAAAGATGGGATTTCTGGGAAATTATGGTGAAAGTCAGTGGGCAATGGCTACATTTACAGTACCACCAGAATGTGCTTGTGTTTGTGCATTTGGTAGAAAAAGTTCTGTGATAGGTACAGTTCATTATTTCCATAATTCTTAACTTTTATTAATACAACATTAAATATATGTCCTCATATTTTTTTCAGCTGTATGTATGGATGGAACATTTCATAAGTATGTGTTCACTCCAGATGGTAGTTGTAACCGTGAAGCATTCGATGTCTTTCTTGACGTCTGTGATGATGATTTTTAACAAAACAATGTTGTATATGCGACAGTTATATTTTGTACATACTCAAAATTTTTTATTGCGGTAAATAAAAACTTTATAGGAAAGTTTATTAATCTTCATATATTTAATTAATTAAAACAAACAATTAATATCTAGTCATTATAAATAGGACTTTGACCTAAAATTTCATTTTATTATTATTTAAATTTATATTATCTTTTCGAGATGCTTTTATATTATTAATATACTATCTTATATAATTTAATTATTTCATTGATTGTTATATAAAATCATACTATATTTTACTTAATTTTACATAATGAATTCAATAAGATAGATTTATTCAACAAATTTATCAGGGGGAATATATTTTTTTGCCTCTGCTCTTACTTGTTCTAAAATAAGCATTTTAAGATTATGCAATCACTAATATTTCCAATAATTTAAATAAGTTATAAATTTATACGTACTGTAATGATTAGGATTCATCATAGGATGAATCAATACAGCACATAAATATGCTCCAATAGCTCCTACAAAACTTCCTACAAAAATTCCATATCTCCAACCTTTAAGGCGTGCCATTTTATATTGCTTAAATTAAAAAATAATTAATACTAAAGACATTCATTTTTATTATAATTATTAATTACAATTTTTGTTAATAAAAAATTATAAGTTATTTACTTAAAACAGATTCATAGGTTATGATATTATTTCAATGAATAATTCTGAACTCTTAATGATCTGAAATTAGGAATAATAGTTGGTAACTTCAGTTCGAAATAAACTTAAAATTACTACATAGATTATAGTACGAATACACTAAAAAACCCTATACTTGAAAATGTTCCGAAGTTAAAGTTGGAAACAATAACCGAAAATACGGTTATTTAATCTATTGGTAGACCTGAATGCTACTGAAGTCAATAGTGAGTCTGTTAGTATATAATGAAATCAATAAACTAGTTCGGTCATTTCCTGTTTGGATTCATTCCTGTTCAGTACGCTATTAAGTTAAGTTGTGAAAATCAGTCAGGAATCCAGTGTTACATCCTGTCTAGTATCATTTTTATCGTATACTACGTTTTAACAAGGTTTTTATAATTCATTATGTTTTAAAAAATAGTTAATATTTTCCTATTTTAAATATTCTCAATTTAAACATTTTTTTTTATATATCTTATTTCCGCAAATATGTACGTATTATATGTAGAAAGTATTTTATTTTATAAAAATTTACATGTACACGACGTTTTATTAGATCGGTTATGTCGGACTTTTACACGTGGACTTACATTAAAAATTATGTTGCAGAAATTACAAACATGTTTCTTCAAATTCGTGGCGAGCAAACACATGTCGTTGAATGTGAAGAGAATTCCACTATTTTGGATATCAAGGTATAGTTAATTTGAAAAAAATATTGAAATTATAAATTTAAATCATTAAATATGTGATTCATTCAAACAGCCATTTTTGTTTATTTAACTAAGATAAGATATTTCCACTTGAGAGTTCTATCTAGATTTTATTTTTTTTATTTTATTATCTCAGATACAATGATTGCATTAAATGATAATCTAACAATTGCTTTACTTGCAATGTTAGAACGAGCAATAATGCAAAAGTAATAAGAAAACGTGTTTAATTTGTGTACGAATAACAATAGTTTGTATACTTTGTTTTTGTGCATGTTTTCGACAATTATTTAACTCTGGATTAACCCTTTCAATTCCACTATGTCGTTCATGAGTATGCTTATGCTCTATAGTTATTCTCATTGCGAATAAGGTTCTATTGTATGAAACAGTTACAATGTTAATGTATATTTTGTCATGAAGTAGATAATGCATGGGATATTACAACATAATGCGTTTAAAAATATTCAGATTTTAAAAATTGTAATCAAAATAAATTATTAAGTTACTATAATTACTAATAGTACACTACCAGCATCGAACATTAGGTGACTTTAGTCTCTAATAGTATCAAAAGGGTTAATACCGGTGAGTAATACTTAACTTGCCAAACTTTATTTTAAATATTTACAAGAACTTATGAAAAGTGTTACATGAATATGTCAATTTATATAAAATTGATTCAGTAATCAATGTGCTACATTTACATTAGGAGCTTATTATAATAATGGTATTATTATGCTTCACAGGGAAAGCTTGAGGAGCTAGTAAACATTGATGGGGATATAAATCTTTATTGTGGAGGTCGTCCCCTAGAAGATGATACTATTGTTAAGGATCTTGAATTCCAAACCCTAGAATTAATTGCCCCTCTATGTGGAGGTAAACTTAATTCTAGCATTCATTTTAATTTCAATTTAATTATATTTATTCTTTATTATTTAATTATTCTTGTTTTCTTTTTATTATAGGTAAAGTCCATGGTTCTTTAGCACGTGCTGGAAAAGTAAAGGCTCAAACTCCTAAGGTAAATAATACTATAACTTTAGCTATACGTTATTGAATCTAATTTATGATTTGTATAATCAAATTATAAAAAAGTACTGGTGTAATATGAATAAGTAAATTAAAATGAAGTTTAGTAGTGAATTTTAATTTAATTTCTTATAAATATGTATAATTTATGTATGTTTTTAAAATCAACTCTTTGAATATGTTTATTAAATATATTTGTATTCTTTAACAGGTTGAAAAGCAAGAAAAAAGCAAAAAGAAGACTGGTCGTGCCAAAAGACGTATTCAATACAATCGTCGATTCGTAAACGTTGTTCAAAGCTTTGGACGTCGGCGTGGACCTAATGCTAATTCTAACTCTTAAATAATTTTATCATGCGTGTATCAAGATAATAAAATTTTATTAAACTAAATAAATTATTATAATATATTAATTATCCTTATTGGTAATAATTAAGAGAATCACGAGGACCCTTTGTAATAAGTATACATGTAAATAAAAATTAAATTATTATGATATAAAATTATATAAGATTTATTAAATATATATTTTTTTTCATATTACAAAAATGATAAGCATAGGTCCTTTATTAAGATTGTATCGAACTATGGATGATGCAGGATCAACAAATTATTAATTAACCTAATCTAACCCTACGGATTAAGTAGGGTTTTAAAATTCATTTTTTATTTATATTTAATAAGATAAGCTGTATAATGTCAAATTTTTTCATAACAGCTGTTGCTAGAAATATTCCTGCATACGATCATATTAATCAAAATGCTATGTCATAATTTTCCTGGTATACGATTATAACAATAAAAATACCTGACCGAGAATATTTCGTAGTTTAATGATAAATAATCAATACTTTAAATTGATTAATTCGAGGTAAAATTAATTTGTTAACTCTTAACGATTACGTGATCAAGGTTTTGTTTTTAGCGCACTCTGAACGAAGAGTCTGTACATTGAATACACAAAATTTTGTCCAGTTTAGATACGTGGTAGATGAATTACGTTAGTTATATATGTTGATGTTACATTCGCGAAGTGCATAATAAATATGGCGAAATTGTTAGGTTTGGATAAGCTCATAAGAATATTCAAAATATTAAAAGACAATAAGGGAATTATTAATTCAGTGAAGACAATATTTAGGTTATTGTTTTTATCATATATATTTACATGAAAATATATTGAAAAAAAAAAAACATATACAATTTTTCTTTTAAAATCTTCTATTGGAATTGCTGTTTTTTACGTCAAATTATTTATTTCAAATCTTTAAATTTAATGAATAAATAAGATTTATCATATATGCTGTTTTATTTTCTATAGAAAATTAACTTTTTTATTATAACCACAAATATTAATGTCATTATGCAATCAAATAATAACTTTAAAATGATACTATATGTGATAATCTAATGTCATATACAGAAAGTTTGTCATTTAATTTAAATGATGTTTTCTTACATATTGTACTTTAACATTATTTTTTATGTTTAATAGAACTGATGAATTAAAAACAGGAGTCCTGGTTGGTGAAGACAAATATGGAAATAAATATTATGAGAATAATATGTATTTTGTAGGTAAGTTCAAATATATCCAGAGTGTTCAGTAATTTGTGGTACACGTACTTGATAAATTTTCAAACTTATTTTTCTCGAAAACAAAATAGCTTTATATGACAAATTTTATTCTACATTTTTGACTTAATTTATCATGTAGAATGATAATATATGGAGAATGGTTCTATAACCATTGAACACTCTGTACATACAGACATGTATATGCGTATTAATATTTAAAGAAATTAATTAGGATACATAAATGATACGATTAAAATATATTTTAGGTCGTAATAGATGGGTCATATACTCAGAACAAGTAGGACTAAATTATGATGGTTCTCAAGTACCATCAGAATGGTTTGGTTGGTTACACTATAAGACTGATTTACCACCTCATCATGATCCATCACGACCAAAATACGAATGGATGTTAGATCACGAACCAAATTTCTCTGGCACCTCTAAGGCTTACTATCCTTATACAACAACAAAACCAAAAGTTATACCATGGAAACCAACAACTTCTAAATAATCTTCATTATTTATGCTACAGTGAAATTAGTCTACTATTTGTCTCTAAGATTCATATAAATTCAATCAGAATAATAAAATGAATCTGTAAATAGATGTACATATATATATATATATGTATAAATATAATTAATTTAAAAATTATTCATGAAATATATGACATCTAATTTATTAAATATCTTATTGTTTACCAATTAAAATTAACATAAGTAATCGTAGATTCTATTGTTTAAATATTTATCTACTAATTCTAGCTATGCTATCTACTAATGGTATATATATATGCATTATATGTGTATATATGTGTATATATACATTCTAAACTTATATATATATATATATGTATATATCTCGTATGAAACGCCTTCTCTGAAATTTCCTTTCAAGGCCTGACAATAGTCAGGACTGATAAGAAAGTGGAAGCAGATATGGACCGAATCGTATTCGCATCAGCGGAAGTCGTCTCCCTACTTCCACCAGAAGAATAGGATCATCGCAATCAACGAGAGGTTCTTTTTGAATTCAAACGTTTAGTTCGTTTAATCGTTGAACATTATTTTCATATATTGAAAACGATTTGCTTATTATTTTTGATAATTGCTACATTGTATTAATCACAATTTATTCTACAATTCTATTTGAAAAAGTTATAATAATTTTAAATCTTTTCAAATTATTACTAAAGAAGAATAATTTTTTATTTCCGTCGAATTTAAACGTCGATGCGTATACCAAACAAAATCATTTCAATCTAAATTTCAAATAATCTTATTAATTTGAGCAAAAGTGTAATAGTGATGAAGTGGTTTACTTTACTTTCTTTATTATCAATCTATTTAAGTCAGTGTGTTATTTATTCAAAAGAAACACCGCAAAGTAAGTTATATCGTTTTTCTTTTTAATTATATTATAAATCTTTATTAATAATTAATGTTATGCTTAAAAAAAAATTAATTAAATTGATATAGTGCTTATGTGTGTTTTATTACGTTATATGTAATATACAGTAATATACAGTATTGTAAATAATACCGATCATCGAAGTTTCACTATAGGAAGATACTGCTCAGGAAGATTTGAAAAACGAAGCGTAACTGTATAACATTCAAATATTTATATTTACTTCCTTGTTAGATCGATGTTCCGTTGTACAATTATTAAATGGAAAAGTACGCGCACGGGCTAGAGGTAGAATCGTTAGATTTCATTGTAACCATGGTTACACCCTCGTGGGGAACAGATATTCTACGTGTATACATGGACAATGGGACACACCAGTACCAGTATGTGTTAGTAAGTGTTATTTTGTTTGGTTTATATATAAATTAAACTATTAATTTGAAACATTAATTATTTATAGTAATTATTTTTATAGAAATAATTATTCTTGTATATCAATAGATGCAGAATGTGCGGCTCTTCCTAAACCCGAACACGCTTTAGTAGCTAAGAAGCATGATGGTGCGATACTTATGTATTTCTGCGAAGCTGGTTATGCTTTAATTGGGGCATCTGAAATTTATTGCAATGGTCATAGTTGGAATGCAACAGCTCCCTATTGCAGAGGTAATTTTATAGATTATTCGTAATTTAATATTCCGAACGTATATACTTTAACGTGTGTATATATCCGAGGAAAATGAGTATGAAAATGAAATAGATACGAGCGCGACTGCACCTACTAAGTGTGACTTTGAGAAGCCGGATTTATGCTGGTGGGAACAGGATCCTCTACATGATTTTGACTGGCGGCGATATAATTTTGAAACACCGAGCTCGCACATTGGCACAGGTCCGACACATGATCATACATTGGGAGCTGGAAATGAAGGTACTTATTTAATCTACTTTTTAATATTACAATTTCAACAGCTGCTACCAAATCCAACGGAAATCTAATTGATTTGAATTTGTTGAACTTCAGGATATTACCTTTATATTGAGGCATCTGGACGTCTTGTAAATGATACAGCAAGAATTATCTCTCCTCTGTACAACGCCTCATTAACAGAATCTGGATGCTTTTCATTCTGGTAATTAAATAATATCTAAATAATGTATCTCTCTCTTTATCACAAATAAATATATTTATACATTATAATTAATTCTAGGTATCATATGTATGGTGCTGCAATCGGTGCCCTACGAGTATATTTCAAATTAGAAACGGATACTAACCCACAGTTAATGTTTCATAAGGAGGGTAATCAAGGAAACCAATGGTTACATGGTATTTTTACTTTACCAAGAGTAGATAAGAATTTTCAGGTCAGTATACACGCTATAATATATAATTTTTACTTTCACTTTAAATTATAGAGTTCACCTATTAATTAATTGCTTTGTAGTTAATCATTGAAGGTGTACGAGGTATGAGCTATGTAAGTGATATTGCTGTTGATGATATTGCTATTTTGCAAGGAAAAGAATGTGATACTAACACAAGTGATATTAGTACAACCACCATGACAACTAATAATAATGGTATATTATCTATTAAATAATAATGATTATTAAATTAATTTTTGTTATATAAGATTATTTTAACTTCTACTAGAACTTATGTAACATAATTATATAATTTTCAGATCAAGTCGAAATAGTAAGTGCAGCGCAAACTTGTCAAGGAAGGTGTAACAATTCACCTACATCTATGTTCATTACTCTTGAGCCACAAGATGAAGAACCACATGTATACATGGTAGAGCAGTGCCAGTGCACATCAGATTGTGCAGAATATGCTCTCTGTTGCCCAGATTATGCAGAATACTGTGTTCTTGGTAGCGATCTATTATTTAAGTATATTATTGTGCAAATAATCGCGATATTAATTTAATGTTTGTAAAAAGAAATATTATATAATGTATTATTCTCTTTGAAATTAATTTAAGATTATTTGCAGCTTTTACAGATGATGGAATTACTCAGGAGATTACAGAAGCTACCACTAGTACTACTACAAATCAAAACAAAATTAATATTACAAGATTACTACCAAATATTACTAAACCAATAAAATATGAAACGACAACTTTGTCTACAACCATAAATCGTAATCATATACCAATAGATCCAAAAGATTATATTGAACCCAATGCAACAAAACTACGAGAAACAGAAGCACCAACAACAAAAATATCTGTGAAACTTACTACGAAGAGCACTACTACTGTTCATGGAACTGAACCCTTTATATTACTTAAAACATCAACAACACATGTAACAACAACATATAAACCAACGACAACAACAAAACAGGTTGAAATAACTGAACAATATGGTAATGTATTCAGTTTCTATATTAGATTATGTACTTTATAATTACTGAATTAATGCTGTTATATTTACTTCTTGAATATAATGCATTAAATATTTGATTTTAGATCCAGAAATAAGTGTGAGAATAGAAAACCCCAAAAAATTTCATCATAACAGTGGAAAAATTGGACGGCCTGGTATTATTGGTTTAATTATTGGCATATTAACCGGAATTGTTGTTGTTTCAATAGTAGCATTTTTCATTATTACAAGAAGAAAAACTTACAAACGTGGAACTGGAAATTCTTCTCTTTCTGAAGATAGTGATGTTCGCTTCTTAACATCAGATGAAATGCTTGATTTTAATCTGGCAAAGCCTAGTGATAATGATGAGTTGTAAGATGTTACATGAATGATATGGTGCATTTTGCAAATATCTTTCATTAAACAGAGTGTTAGCTGAGTTTCCAAACGTGTGCATAAATTGATAAGTTATATCCAATGTGAATAAGCTTAAGCATGATGCAACAACAATCATTGAAATTTATCAATGAAACTGTGTTAGTGATCATCGTAAAACTGAAATATATAATAATGATAAAAATATCTTGATTAGTTCAGGTAAATTGACAACAAATTATTTGAATAAAACATATTTTTTATGATATAACACATTAAGAGTATATTATAATTGAAAACAATAAAATAAAATTTAAATGATGTATTCCAATTTAACACACACACAAATTTTCTTTTTAAATAAATGTATAATATTATATTATACCCACATATTTTTTTTTGTATATATACTGAACTAATTATATCCATAAAAGAAAAAATATATAAAAGTAAGTTATATATATATATATATATATTAATAATATAATAAATAAATATACCTGTATTTTTTAATAAATGAATTTACAAATTACTTTATGGAAGATTTATATATTATAAATCCAGTTTTTTTTGCGGTGTAATGCATTGGAACGGCGTTTCAATTGCATGGAATTTCATTTAAATGATATTTGAATATAAACTCAAATCTGTTTTTCTGTGGGAGGTAGAGACCACATAAAAGAAAATGCACACAAAAAAATATTCCAAAACTTCCTAAGTAGCTATAAAAAATATTTTTCGCAATATATTTTTTATGAAAAAAACCATTGCATATATCTATAAATCATTGGGGCATGATTTTTTTCTCTTTAAAGCTGAAATGATATGCCTAATACTAGGTATCCAAGCACTACACAAACTGGTGTGATCTATCATCAATGCAATATGAAGTTTGTCTGCTTTATCAACATCTTCTTCTTTCAATGCTAAAAATATTAACAATTAATTATTTGAATTTCAGTATTTTATCCATTAAAAAATATTATAATTATACATTTTATTAAACTCACCCTTTGAAATGTCAAGTATTTTCTGTTGTATAGAATCATTTAATTTATTATCAAGCCAACAAGATTTCATTAAATCTAATCTCCTTTGAACCTCATCTATTTTATTTTCTACAACATATTTTTTAATTACCAATTCCAAATTTGCCATAGTATCAACTAAGGCTTGTTGTTTATCAAATTTTGTTACAGTACAAGTCAATTGTGTATTTGTATCGGAAGGCGTTATTAAAGGAGCATGAGGTGCTGTCTTTAAACCTAAAGGAGGAATTGATGGTGGTGGCAATGGCATGTCTGCTGTATTTGTTTGACATTCATTATTGTTTTTTATTAATTCTCCAGAAATTAAAGGAAATGGAACTCTTTTATTTAGTATTCTTTTTGTAGATATATTTGTATTTACTGCATATGGGGATGCCCATTTCGGTGTGTCATTCCAACCAGAATCATAAGAAGATGGTAATGATTTTTGCGTAGAGATAACATTATCTATTAAACCGAAATTTTATATAAATTACAAAATATTTATATAATTTATAATAAAATATCTACTTATATATATTGTAGTTCGACATAAAGTTAGATTATAAAATGGTAACCTAATAGTTTAAAAAAGTATATATCGTTTTTTACCAATCATTATGTATTTCAACAATTGTTATTTAAAAAAAGGAATGATGTAGTACAGCTGTTACCTGAAGATTTTTCGTCCATTGTCGTAGTTAAGAAAAACGTAAAAATGATCTATGAATTATGATAATGTATGTCCAAAAAGGATCACAAAATAAACGAGGAAGAGCAGGATGTAATCGGATTAGACAAGTAATTAATACACATGTTAAAAATAAAACTTTTATTCGATAAAAACCGAAAAATTATTTATTATACGTCAGAAGAATGTCAAAAAACTGACACATATCAATTGTAACGTTAGTTACTTCACTTATGCATCTGCGCACATAGGCGCACGCAGGTGCACGTAGGCGCACGCAAGTGCATGATCGTCTTAAAAGAGGCGGGAGAATACGAAAATCTTCTGACAAATTAATAATAAGCTTTTATGATATTGTCGGTTCTATTTATGAAATTTTGTCTGTGTACTTTGTTTAGATGTTAAATTTTTAACAGTTCTTATCCTTAAGACTCATTTTTTTACGATTATTAAATAATTATTTATTTAATTTCAATTATTTATACTTAAACAACCTAAATGATTACCGTTATAGTTTCGTATTATTATTTCTATTTCAAACTGCCGCCTTATTCCCCTTACATTTTGGTACAAATAGAACACGGGCGCCCTCTTATTTTTATATCCTATTTGTATACATAGGGCTTGTACTCCTTGTGTAGTCTCCATGGTTATAAGGACTCATCAGAAAAATCTAAAGTAAGGTTTTGAGGGTTAGAGTCAAATGTTGTTCGTAAACAAGTTACAGGAGTGGTATTTTTTTATACGTTTTATTATTATTAATATTAATTAATAATTAACCGGATTAAGATTATATATCCCATTATTTATATCTATCTATTTAAAATGATTAATTTGTTACTGAATAATTTGTTGTGTGTTTCAAGATTATAGAACATTATTTTATTTGTTAATACAGTTATATATATTTTATTGATTATATTATAATACAATTGTATTATAGTAGCAACTATTGTTAGTTTATAAATATTTGACCAAAATGGATGATCAAGCTTGTCCAAGATGCAAAACTACAAAATATCGAAATCCGTCATTAAAAATGATGGTAAATGTTTGCGGACATACTCTATGCGAGAGTTGTGTAGATCTATTATTTTTAAAAGGTTTGTTGTTATATTTGTATGATATACTTTAATAAAATTTTTATAAAAGTTCCAATTGTACATGCAAAAAAATTATATCATATTTTATAAAATATAATTATTTTTAAGGTTCCGGATCCTGCCCAGAATGTCATATTCCATTACGAAGAACAAATTTCCGTGTTCAAATGTTTGAAGATCCTATGGTAGAGAAGGAAGTAAATATAAGAAAAAAGATACTTAGGGATTTTAACAAAAAGGAAGAGGATTTTGCTACATTGCTAGAATACAATGATTATTTAGAAGCTGTCGAAAATATAATATACAATTTGGCTAATGATATTGATGTGGTTGAAACAAATAAGAAAATAGATCAGTATAAAAAAGATAACAAGGATCAAATAAATAAGAGTAAATCTAAACTTGGTAGAAAGGAATATGAATTGGAAGAACTTTTAGAATTAGAAAAACAGCAAGAAGAAGAAAGACGGTTAGAACTTGCTAAAGAAGAAATGGAAGCAAAGAAGAAAAAAATCAGAGATAAAGAGGCTTTAATAGATGAACTTACATTCTCAGAAGGGAATGCTAAAAGTATTGTTGATACGTTTACATCAGCGATACAGAATTCCAAGAAAGAAGCAAGGACCTCCTCTCCTAAAGCTACTCAATTTAGTACGGGAATAAAGTTTGGAAAACAAGGAACGCAAAGCTACTTACAAATTCCAAAAGTAGAAGAAGGACCAATGTTTACATATAATGCTATTAGACAACAAACAGAAGGACCAGACGTTCCTAGTTGGCGTGAAATTCAAACTCGAGGATATATATCGCATGTTCGTGCAGAGACAAAAGCGGAAAGAGCAGGAGGATTTAAAGCACATGTTGCTTGTTTAAGGGCATTAGAAGAAGCTATGGCTAGTTTATATCACAATCCTTCACAGCATACTACAGAATTTACAACAGTTTGATTTCAAGTATTTTTGTAACTTTTTGTTTGTTTATTTTATTGTTGTTATATAAATACATTCAAACTATGTGCCAAAAGCTGTAAGTGCCTCAGTTCTATAAATATTGTCTTTATATCAACTGCTATAGTTAACAAATGATATTAATAATTTTACAAGCAATAGAAAATTTTTATCTCATCAGGGTACGGCAATCATATGCAATCTATGATTTTTTTCCAACTTTGCACACTTGCAGTGGTTCATGAGGAATGTACATTGCATCCTCTAGAAATTTTGGAGTAGAAATTTTGCAAAAATTCTTATGTTCACTTATGTCTTTTGCTTTGGTAGTGTAATGAAAAAAATCGGAAGTTGCACATGTTTGTTGTACCCTTGTTAGGTTTTTTCTCAGTGTATGGAAATGTTCGTCTTAGTTAGATTAATGTTGCTTCAGTTATAGTAATATGAAGTTATCTAGTTATAGATATATAAACAAAAATTAATGTATATATACATGTTTTGTGTTCATGGAATTTCTAATTAAGGAAGAAAAATAGTCTAATAATATATTTTGTTTCTTCTTTCTTAAACCTTCCTCTATCCTGTCATGTTTTATTAATTTTTATATTATTGTAGAACAAATTCGAAATCCTAGGAGTGCATAAAAGAGAAAAACGTGATAAATAGTGCAAGCTTATGCAAATTTAAGCAAATTTATAAATGTGCATATACTACAGGGGATTTTTCTTGTTGATTTTGTGGTTCATATTTTACCCACACTTGGCGCTGAAGTGTCAAATTTCGAGTTTCTTTATATAAAATAATAAATGACAGAACTATTTTTTATCATTGTGAACTCGATTAAAATTTTTGTAAATCATGTAAAATAATTGTGGTTATTTCTATTTTTTTTAAAAGGAAAGTTGTTAGTTTATTAATTACATACGTATTCGCATTCATTTATAATCTGTCATCATGGTTGCAATGTTATATTATATTAAGTTTACAGTAGTATGTTGCATTATGTTATTGTTTACAATAAGTATATTTGTCACTTTTACGAATATAAAAATTATTGTTAATAATTCGCCCACGCCAATTGTTATCTGGCATGGTATGGGTATGTATTGATGTTCATATATTTTTGTTATTGAAATTTATTATAAATAGATCTAAATGGAAATGAATGATTTGTTTTAATGATAGGTGATAGTTGTTATGCTCCTGGTATCAATTCTATTAAACAATTATTAGAAGACAAAATATCTGGAGTTTATGTCAAATGCATACATAAAGGAAATAATATATTTGTGGTAATATTAATTATTAATTAGCATACTTTTAGAATTAAAGATCAAGTATACTCATTCAGTAAGTTCTTATTTGTTCATAGGATATAGAAAAAAGTTATTTGGGAAATATTAATAATGATGTAGAGGTAGTATGCAAAGAAATAGAAATGGATGTAAACTTGCAGAATGGTTACAATGCAATTGGTTTATCCCAGGGTGCACAATTTTTGTAACTAGAATCAGAAATTCTATATATACAATTCTAATGAAAACCTTTAAATTTTCATTGAAATTATTTTGTATCATGTATCTCATAAATATTTGTATAAACAAATTTGTTATTCTATTTGCAGACGTGCTGTAGCTGAAAGATGTACAACTCCACTAATGTTAAATCTAATATCTTTTGGTGGTCAACATCAAGGTGTTTTTGGATTACCACATTGTATTGCTATAAATAACGAAATGTGCAATTTTTTTAGACAGCTACTTAGTTCAGCAGCATATACTAAGTACTTAAATATATTATATTTAAAAGTTACTATAAAGCATTAAGAAATCTTATTAATGTATATATTTTTTCTTTATCAAGTTTTGTCCAAGAAAGTATAATCCAAGCAGGGTATTGGCATGATTCTACAAAAACAGACGAGTATAAAAATAAAAGTCGTTTTCTAGCAGATATTAATAATGAATTAAATATAAATGAGGTATGTTGCTTTAATATAAAATAATATAATTATTTTTATATAATTAATGATTATAATACTAATACACATTATTCATGGTAAAATAAATGATCGTGTTTTGTACAATTTTCTAGACATATAAAAGTAATCTTAAAAAATTAAAATCTTTAGTTCTGGTAATGTTTGAAAATGATACTATTGTACAGCCTAAAGAAACAGGATGGTTTGGATTTTATAAATCTGGCCAAAGCGTAGAATTGGAAAGCTTACAGGAATCTAGTTTATACAAAGAGGTAAATGTTAATATAATTTACATCAATTTATATTTTATTTCATAATTTTTCTATTTTAGGATCGTCTGGGATTGCAAGAAATGGATAAATTAGGCAAAATACATTTTATTTCTCTTGAAGGCGATCATTTACAATTTACAGAAGAATGGTTCGTGAAAGACATTGTGGACAAGTTTCTTAAATAAGAATAATTAATAGAATTGTAATAATAATTTTTATATACATGAAATTTTATTGGATGATATTATGATGTGATATTTATATATATACAATAATGCAATAATTGTTATTGTTATTAAAAATTGTAACAAACTTGTAAATATAAAATTATTTTAATCACTTTCATTCAAAAGATGTAATTAAATATCTATGGAATATGTATTATATTATATATATATATATATATATATATATATATATATATATATATATTTCAAATAAATACACATTCTGGCAAAAGTCCAGGTGATCTTACAACGATGACTACTCAACTGATCCTACAATAGCAGCAGTTTCAGTGCTATTAGTGACGCCGCGTAACGTCGAGCCACAGAAAAATGTTTCGAATGTGGTTGTGAATACGTAACATGGAGTTTTAAGTAAAAAGAAGTTTGATACAATGTTGCCTTAATTTAAACTTATTAAACAGTGATTCCGTATTATGTAGTGAAGCATTTATTATTTTTCTTTTCATAGCTAATAAATGTTTTATGCATAAACATGGATGATAAAAGTGCTATTGTTTGTAAAAATGTATAATCACAGTACTTTTCGTTCAGCGAATCATTATTTGAATTAATAAAAGTAAGTCAATCAAACAATAGATTTTGTAATTTGATTATAATACGTACGTAGCTTCTATATTGAAATATCTACGAAGATAAAATTATACGTTCTATTTTATTTATGCATACATATGCAATTTATTTATTTCGAGAAATAGATATTTATATAAAGAATATTTTGTTAAAATTTAAAAATGTATCGCTTTGGCGGGAAGAAATTTTAAATTACGACGAAATTTAATATTTCGAAATATAATATTAAATAAAAAATTTCTTCAGCTATATTTAAACACGAATAAAATAAATAATTACTATTTGTTATATTTGAAGGAATCATAAAACTATATATTTTGTTTAAATACAGTACTTTAACAATGAAATAAAACGCATATATCACGCATGCGTACCCTAAATTTTTCGTATTATATAAATTGCTAATCAAATGAATTTTAAATTTCAGCGTTTTTGTCATTTTTCATAATTTTATTTATAAGTTAAATAAAATATCATTTTGCTAAATAAATACATAAATAATGAATAACGATATATTAATTAATTTAAAATAAATAAAATATAGGAATGCATCACGCATATTCCTCCAAAAAAGGGGATTCTCTTTGCCCTCTTGGTTTCCATCCTCAGGTTCGATGGCCAACACGATGTAAACGATGCTTCAGGTAATATATTTATATTATTATTTTTTTAATTTATAATAATAAATATATTAGATAAAATAAAATAGAAATTACTATAAAAAAATAAAGTTATTTTTTTTTTATTTCTTTTGCACGTGGCCCTATTAAAAAATAACGAAGATCGATAAATGATCATAATAAAAATGATCAAAACTCATTTGTATATTTGAATATAAATGGTAATTACATTATTCGTGTTGCCAACTTGTCAAGGTACGCAATCACTGGTCACAGCGGATTTCTATAAACAGATTGAGCTAAACCAGATCCTTCGAGAACTCTTTAGTTTCTAATTACACGTATTTAAGAAATTCAATTAGTAACAATGTATGCATATACGTATATATGTATAAATCTACCAATTAATCATTGATAAATGGCTCGTTTTTTTACCAGCTTTCAAATACACAAACTATCGTGATTTATTATCAGATTAAAGTGATTTAGTATTCGACAAACACATATCCTATCGTTGCATAAATCTAAGAATAGAAAAGATATATATAACTTATCCAAAATACGATTCGTTCACGTAAATGCGTCAGAGTTTTCACGTGAAATATGTATACTTAAGATAGAGGAATTTTACCGATCGTACGTTATTAATCAAAAATAATGCAAATAGTTATTATACACGTATAATTTATATAACATTAAAGTATGAAATTTCATAGCGGAAAAATAATAGCAAAATTATAAGAAACTTCATGTTTTTTCTAATAATTACATTAGTTTTCATTACCAAATTTATAGACTTTCTAAAATAAAATCATAGTTTATTTTTATAACTGTAATGTATATAAACATTTTTTTTTAACTGAAAAGATTTGGCCGGTAAAATAGTTTCATTGAAAGACAAAGAACAAAAAGCAGTAAAATAATAATTACAGTCGGTAAGGAAGAATTTTGTAGTATGTAATGGCGCGTATATTTGAAATTTTATTATTTTATCGTATGACGTTTGATCGTTCATTATGTGTCTTCTCGTTTTTATTAGTAAACCAATACTATATAGCTCATTAAATAAATTATTTTTATTTCGTTTTTTATACAATACAAATTATTTATATATTATATAATAATATATAAATATTCCTACAGAAGACTTTTTGTTAAATACATTTATACATATACATTTACATAGAATTTATTTACTAGAGATTACAAAGATCATGGTGAAAAAAGAGGTAACTTAAGGGACATAACATCATCGACGCCTAATCTTTCATTACACAGTTCATCAGAGCGGTAAGTATTTTAAATTAAAACAAAAAATATCAATAAATAGAATTTTTATTGTAACATATCATTGAATTATAGCGATGGAAAGAGATCTTGGGCATCGACGACAAATTTGACCAAAAATGATCTTCGATCATCCAACTTGGATTCTTCGCTTAATTCTGTATCAACGTCTAACTTTTCTACTAGCGCTAATCAACTTAATGATGTCTCAGAATTGCAGAAACAAAATACTGCAAAAGACAAAAGGCTTTCTTTAATAGGTGAAAAATCTACTTCTAAAAATCAATTGTATGATTCCACATCAAAATTACAGATCAAAGAAGTTATTAAAAACAATGAAAATACTGCAGGGAACGATGTGGAATTTATTATTCAGGTATATTTATTTATTCATTGTATATAGTTGCTGTACAAATAGCATTAAAGCTTTCAAATATTAAATTTTATTTTAGGTGAAAAAATCTCCTACAAAAACTGTATCAGTAAATGAAATTCAAAGGCTGGAAAATGGCGTGGAAGAGGTAATATTTCTATTGCAAATTTTTATTTTCTAATCAAAATAAAAATGATTATTTTAATTTATATTATGTTTATTTTAGAGTGAGATTAAAAAATTAAGAAAAGATTTAAATGAAATGAAAGAAAAATGTCAGAGATTAGAAAAAGAAAAAAGTGAAATATTGCTTCGTCGTTTAAGTACTATGGATACAATATCGAATAAAACATCTGTGAGTGAAGTAATTAAATTAGAAAAGTCAATAAAAGGTATATAATATTAATTCAGTAGTATAAAATTGGAGTTATGAATAAAATGTATAAATAATTAATAATGCTTCACAGTATTTTAAAAAATAATAATAATAATATAATTTAACATCAGACACATAAATTTTAGCTCTTACAGAAGAAAAGTCTATGCTATTATCAAAAATAAGAGACTTAGAAAATGAAGCACGTTATAAGTTAAATAGACGTGATACAGATAAAACAAGTGAAGATTTAAAATCTAAATTAAAAGCAGCGGAAACTCTTTGCGAATCTTTGATGGATGAAAATGAAGATATGAAAAAAGAAATTCGAGAATTGGAAGAAGAAATATGTGAAATGCAAGATAATTTTAGGTATCCATTGATTTTATATTCATAGAATTAAAAAAATAATTAAAAGTCAAAAGAGACATATATTTGTGTATTAAAAAAAGAAATTTTTATATCTTTAAGGGAGGATCAAGCAAATGAGTACACTAACTTACGAAAGTCTTTAGAACAGTCAAATAAAAATAGTCGGATTCTTTCATTTAAATTAAGAAAATTAGAAAGAACGACAGAACAATTGCAGAAAGAAAAAAATGATTTTGAAAAAAGATTACAAGAGGTATAATATATTTGAAATACGCATGTTTTAATCTTTTACTATGGTTGATTTTTATTTTGTAACCTATTTATGTAGGTGAGAAAAATAGAGGAGATGTTGACAAAAATAAACAACGATTCCAAAAAAAGAACTGATTTAAAACCTACAGAACTTGGAACGAAAGTACAATTTAAAAAAACGGTGGATGATATGCAGAAACAAATAGGTTTACTATTTATTTATTTATTTTTTTATTTGCATTTATTTATTTATATATTATCAGATCTAATTTCAATATTTTTGTTTACTCTTGATTATTCATTTCCAGATAATATTATTACACTTTTTGCTAATATTAACGATGGACAAAAAATAGATATTACTTGTGAGAAAAACAATGAGAATATTATGAAATATGATGCTCTATTACGGGATTATGAATTAATAAAACAAAAACTAGAAGATACTTCTAAGGAGTTAATTAAAGAAAAAGAAAAAGAAAAAGAAAAAGGAAAAGGAAAAGATAAAGAAAAAGACAAAGACAAAGATAAAGATAAACATCGCGAAGGAAAAATAACCGATGATAAAATGAATATGGATTTTCAAAATAGTAAGAATTTTTATTTGGGATATCAGTTTGTACACGTTAATAATATATTGAAATATATAATTTAAATTTACAGTGAAAAAGAAATTGGATTATACTGTAACGTCTAGAGAGACAGAAAAAAAAGCATGGGAAGAGGAAAAAGAAAAACTTAAGTCAGAATTATTATCATTATCGTTTGAAAAGCTTAAAATTTACAAAGAATTGGAAAAGTTAAAGAAAGATACTGGTGAGATTAATTTATAACTATAGTGTAATCCTTTCTTGTTGTATTAATATATATACTGTTTTCTTTTACTACACTTTTTAAAATTTGTTGTTATATAATATAATAAAATATCGATATAATATATACAATATTTTAATTAACTTTTGCTTAAGCATAGAAGCCATAAGGTCCTCTGAAAAAGAGTATGCAAACAAAATTAAAAGATTAGAGACAACAGCTAATGATTTGAAAAAAGAATTATCTCAAGAAAAGAAGAAGTGCACTGAAATACAAAATGATTTATCATCGTGTACTCAACGGGAAGCAAATATGACAGAAACAATATCAAATGTAAATATTATTATTATTTTATTGTTTAATTGTAACTGTATTTTTTTCATTTTGTAAAATCTTCAGTTAATCATTTCTTATAAGTGTTTTGTAACCATATTTTATATATTATTTTATGAAATTATGTAACAGATAGAACAGACCAAAAATCAACTTGACAAGGAAGCAAAACATTTAAAAGAAGAATTGGAAAATCTTAGGCGTTCATCCGCAACACAAATAGCGAATTTAAAAACGGAGCTTACAAATGTTAAGAAAGATAAAGACAAATTAACTGCTCAAATAGAAAAAGAGAAATCTACTAAAGAGTCTGAAATAGCATCTCTTAAAAGCAAAATAACATCTCTAGAAAAAAGTGGTTTAGATGCTACTAAAATCAAAGAAATGAAAGCAAATTATTCTGATAAAATTTCAAGTAAGTAAGTTTTCTTTTTCACAGCTCGAAAATTGGAATTATTTATGGTAGTTTCTCTTTGTTTTTTTTTTTAATTTAAATATTAACATTGTATCTTTCTTAGAGCTCACAAATCAAATAGAAAAAATGAATGTGGACTATGATAAATTAAATGAAAAGAATAAAGCATTAGTAGTTTTAAAAGAAAAGATTGAAGAGGAGAATCAATCTGTAAATAGGTAAATTCAATCAATTAAATATGAAGCTACATAATAATGCATGTATTGTTCTTTTTAGTTTAGTAGTAATATTTACTCTCATTATTACAGTATATTATTGCAATACAAGACTGATTTAAATAATAATCAAACAGAAATACAATCACTTCAAGATTTAATAAAAGAAAAGGAAAATGAATGGCAATTAGAAAAATCTAGCTTTGAGGTAACCAAAATATGATTTTTATTTAATCGTGTATATTCATCAATAGTAATCATATATATTATTATTATCACAGAAACGTATTCAAGAATACGAAGCATTATCCCACAAGCCTTTAATTAATGACTTAAGAACGGAAATTAATAGCCTGAAAAAAGAGAACGATGTAATGTTAAAAAGATTAGATAATGCAAGAGAAGTAGTAAGTGAATAATTAATAACTAATTAACAAAAAATTGTTTATGTTTATAAATTTATATTTTTCCTCCTTATAGAACGAAGATTTAGTTAATAAATTAAAAGATTATGATGCTGTATCAAAAGCTCATCAAGTGTTATCAGCTGATACAACGTCTCTTGAATCAGAAATACAGAAATTAAAAACTAGTTTGACCAATGTTGAGAAAGCGAAAAAAGCGGATATAGCACAATGTAAAATGCATTATGAACACAGAGTTACAGCAATTAGCGACGAAATGCAATCATTACAAAATCAATTATCACGTTATAAACGTGAACGAGACACGTATAAGCATATGTTGGAAGGCGCCCAAAGGACAATCGCAGACCTAAAGTTAGTTAGACAACGTAAACAATCTTATACAAATTCTGAAAAATCAGATGAGGTTGGTATTAAGTTATGAAATATAAAAAAGTTATAATGTATATATTTTGAAAAGAAAAGATGTAATAAAAATTTTATTGTAGGATGAAGAATCCTCTAAGGCTAATATTACAGTTTTAGAGCAACAAATTAGTTGCATGGAAGATGAACTTTCAGAAACTAAACTTGAATATTCTAGATTGAAGACGTCATTAGTTTCCGAAAAATCAGCTTGGAATGTTAAATTATCTGAAATGCAATCTCGAATTAATGAGGTCAGTAATATATAAGAAAAACAATTATTTCCATTAAAAATTTTTTCAAAATTATATATATTTACAAATTTCAGCTTGAAGAAGAACGTATCCTTTCGAGTGGACGATCTAAAATTCCAGGCATTAAAGTACGCATGGAATTGGCTTGGCAAAAGGAAAGAAAAGAACAACAAAGATTATTAGAAGAAACAGCTACTCTTGCAAGAGATTTGAGGCAAACATTGTTCGAGGTTCCAAATTTTAATTTTGCATTTAAATGGTTTAATATTATAATAATAATGAAAATAATGAATATTTTAAAATAAATTTTGTATTACAGATTGAAAGAGAACGTTCTAAGGAACGTCTTGAAAATAAAAGAAAGCAAGATCAATTAAAGAAAGCATTTGACGAAGAAAAAGAAGAAAATAAGAAAAAATTAATAGAAGTAAGATCAAATTTTAAAAGTTTATTTTTTCAAATATTCTTTCTCTCTTTAATCTTTACAATATTTTATTATATTTCAAATAGTTGCAATGTGATTTATTGGAACTACGGGATGCTCACGCGAAATTAAGAACAAGTAACGAGAGAATGAGACGCGAAAAGGAACGTCATGAAAAAGAAAGACAAGACTTGAAGAATGAAATATTACGTCAACGAGAATTAGATAATACCGAAGTGAAGAACATAAATATGTTGTTAAGACAAGTAGATGATCTTCAAAGATTATTCCCAGAATTACATGATGTACATACTCCAGAAAAATCAGAAATATACACGCCGACACCACCGAGAAGATTAAAAGTACATAATATAATCAAATTAATTCTATTACTAATAGAGTAAAATATATACATAAATATATATTGCTTTACAGGGTCCTAAATCAAGAGAATCATCACCTATGCTCGATACGAAAAATGATATTAAAGATAAAAACGGTATTTTACAATTCTGTTTTCTTGTAATAACATCTATTTAATACATATGTATAATAAATAATATATTTATGCATATATGTAGGTTCTATGCAGCATTTGGAAAATAGAACAGAAAAATTAGAATATACAATAAAGAAATTAATGGATGTAGCAAAAGAGCTTAAAGAATCTAAGAAAACGTTGGATAACATAAGTGCTAAGCAATTGATGAAACTTAGTAAAAGGTGAATTATTAATACAATTAAAAAGCGTTTCTTTTTTTAAAAGATTGATCCTATGCAATATATTTCTTTAATAATGTATTCTTAATTATAGATCAACATCTGTAGATAATACAACGAGAAGAGGCACGAGTCCGAATCCTTCCAAACCACGTTTGAAAGTGAAAAGCTTGTCTTTAGAGCAAACAACAGGAGGAGGAAGCATAGATGTAAAAAAAATTATTATTATCCCTATGTTTTATATTTAATATTACTATTATAATTATTTTAACAATAGACAATTAATAAAATGTGTCATTTTTATGAATATTACATATATATCATATAACAATAATACTAAATATTTATGAAATAATATGTTTTTTCAGTCTCAAAATGTTTGGGGTACTGATAGTAACATGTCCAGTCTACAATCGTTGGAATCCAATCCACGAGCATTTACTTCCCAACGGGATTCTAGTGTGGATAGGTATATATATTTTAAATATATTAAATAATTAATATCACATAAATTGTACTACTTTTATTTTGTCTTCGTTATTTATATTAGCCGTTTGTCTGGCGACTCCACGAAGAGCGAAATGTTACATCGAGAGAAAAAATACAATAAAGGTATAATTGGAAAAATTCGAACTAAGCTTGTTAAATCTAGCAGTGTTGACGAAGCAAACATGAATTTAGACTATCGAGTAAGTAAAACAAAATCATATTATTTTACTTTTATTTTGTAAATAAAATGTAAATACTTAAATTTCAATCATAATAGACTTCAGGCTCTGAAATAAGCATTAACGAAGATGTTAAAGAAGAGAAGAAAAAATTAAAAAAGAAATTATCTGATATGTTCAAAAGAGGTAACAGAAGCAGCAGGTAATTAATTTAATTATTTTATCACTGTTTTCATTATAAACTTTTTAATTATTTTAATTATAATTTTTAACACAGTTACTCTCTTTTATTTTATACAGCACTAGCAAGAAGTCTGATGGTGGAGATTCCAGCAGACCACCTTCAAGAAATTCAACAACATCTAAAACATAACTTCATACTATTATATTTTTGAACTATACAATTCTCCTATTTACGAAATCGATTGCACAGCGTGTCTAAAGTTATGTATTATAATTCAGTAAAAATATCTTCTTCAAATATAAATTTTACTTATCTTTCTTTGCTATGTTTTTTCTATTCTTCTTCATAAAATACGAATAAGTAAAATATTATTATGGATTATGTTTAAAATATTCTTATACATTGTTAGTAAATTTTTCGTATATATGATCAAAGAATACAGAAGTACATAATTAATAATTAATAATTCTATGCCAACTTTTCTGTGCTGACTTGTTAGCAAAGATATTACCGTTTATCAACAGGGAGGGTAAATTAGTCGAATCTTAGATATCTAGATGGCGTTCAAATGTCAAATTATCTACTGAATGAATAACTGAAAATTTCGATACCGATAGAGATTAACAGCTCCTATTTGTGGAGCATGCATAGATCCTTTTTATTTTTACCTAGGATCATATAATTAGAGTTAATTAAAAATGTCAAATAAAGTATTATTTCTTAAATCTGGATTTCCACGTGCTCCTTTAGGACTTGGAATTGGTCGTTATGTGTGTCAATTACAAAGAGTGACATTAAAGTTCTGTAAAAGTCTTGGTTCCAATAAAGGAATGAGGTAGGTTATAGTTGCTTTCCTTTTTCTTGTTAAGATAACATAATGAATTTATTTTTAAAGACCTACATGGATATATTATTGAATTATTTATTATACTGTTTACTATAATATGAAAAAAATTAATATAGATTTTTTACTTTTATTCAGAGATTTTTTGGAACATGATTTGATAGACTTTTCCAACCAAAACCCTGGTATTGTTGTATATGTGAAACCAAGACGACATAGGTCCCCAGTAATAGTTGCAGAATATTGTAAATATGTGGCAATATTTTATTTGATAATAATATACTATAAATATAATAAGTATTGTGTCCTTTATAGTAAACGGAGAAAGACAATGGATGAATGTTAGTAATTATGCTAGAGAAGATATTGTAAAGTGGATGGAAGTATTACGTACTCAATTTCATGATGGCCCAAAACTGCGTATAAGAAAATTTTGGCATACAGAATTTCCTTCTATTCAAGGACCATGGTCACCTATAACATTTAGAGATCCAAGCCATAATTTAGCCCAGTTTCCTAACGTAAATATAATTAAATGTTTATATGTAATTGAACCTAACAAAAATTTATTTCGCTGTAGATATATTTAAAATTCGAATTTATCGACATTACAGAAAGAAATTGGTGCAGCTGTTAAAACAGGACCGACTGCAACTGAACAATTAATTGAATTATTTAAAGCCCAGCAAATGTCTGAACAACAACAACAACAAGAGCAAGAAATTGAAGTACAAAGAAGCACATTTAAAGAGAACTCTAATTAATATAAAACATAAAATTAAATGATGTAAAATAGTAATAAAAATTTAAATATATGTATATATATAAATTACTATAAGAAATAATTATTTTATTACTTCTTTAGTGGATTTATAATACACGGTAAACACTGTTTTTAAATTCATTGGTTTTTCGATGCATAATATTTAAAAAATTACTTGTAATATAAACTATTTAAATGGCAGTAAATATTTAAGCCAGTTTTTCGAAAATTTACTAAATCTTGTTATTATCTATAATTTTATACATTCATTTTAATATGCTTTTTTCGTAATTCGTTTATTTAAATAGATTTAAATAATAAATTTGAAGAATTCATAGAAAATAATCTAAAGTACAAGGTCTGAACACAGAGAAAATATAATAAAAGGTAATATATTCTGTGAATGTTTCTTTCTGTTTTAAGCACAGAGTTACATAATCTGATACATACAAACGTACCTATTATTTGCAATTTTATAACATAAAATTTCAATTTTAGACATTAGGTTTTTCTCTTCGACAGTCATAGACACTTGTCTATACGAAACTTTGAATATATAACTAACTACTTATATAGTTTACTCCTACAAAAATATATTTTGACACTTTTTATATAAGACTTGAATAATGATGTGTATATATATAAAAAATGTCATTTCTAAAAGAATAAATATATAAAAAGCATATAATAAAAAATAAATAAATATACATACAGATTAATCTCATTGCAGAATGCAATTATTCTGTTTAATAGAAATAATGATCTTAAATGAAACTTTTCTATTATAACAATTTTAAATTATATGTATAGGAATAATGAGTCCTAATTCATTTAATTTTTATCTCCTATAAATGTAAAGTATTACAGAACAGTACATATTTGTCGCTATATAAGTAATACAAAACAGTACATATTTGTCGCTATATAAGTAATACAAATTGTTAATATTGTTAAATGTATAATATATTATAATTAAGAAAAGAATGAACTTCCTTTTTTTAACATAATAGTAACAATTTTGAAATTCTTATGTAAAATTGACAATTACTGTGCTGCTATTTGTATGAAAAGTATTATTTACTAACGAGTATTTATAGAAATTCAACTATCTCTTAATTTTATCATGAAATTAACTAGTCAAATGTGGAAAATATCTTCAATATATAAGTAAGCTTATAAACTATAAAACAATTCTAAATTTAATATTTATTGTTTTAATAAAATAGAAAGCACTAATGTTTAATAACAATTTTAGCAATATATATATAATAATAAATTTAGATTCTTATATGTTTTTGCAGAAAATTATTGAAATAATCAAGAGTATCGTAAACAAAACAATAATCTTTATTTATTTTTAAGAAAACAACAGAAAATGAAAAATTGTTTGTCTTTATTATTTTTATCGACACACAGTATTAAATAATTAATTAAATATGATACTTTTTGGACAAGTATTTTTAAATGTAATTAGATTATTTGTCAAATTGCTTTTGAATCCAAAAAATTTGATAAAAACAATAGAATAATTACTATTATTAAAATATATAGTAGTAGTTTTGTGTAAATTTAAACATACACTCGCACAAGCAGAACAATACTACACTTTTCATAACATATAAATACTAAAATTTCAATGTCCAAAACTTACAAATATGGT